AGTCCCACATATCTTGCTTCCCTATTGGCCAACAGTGCATTATTTATCAACCAATAGGATAACATATATACAAAAGGACTTCCCCCAACACTCAACAGATACAAAAAAACTGGAATAACCCCCTGCATCTTATTGGATCACCACGCTTTAAATATAGAATTCAACAACAACACAAACTGCAAAAAAACCCTACAAACACAAGGAAATTGAACAATGCTCAATTGAACTATTCCTGGGTCAAGGAAGAAGTAAAAAAAAGACATTAAAAACTTCCTAAAATTCAATGAGAATGAAGACACAACATACCCAAACTTATGAGACACTTGAAAGCAGTGCTAAGAGGAAAGTTCATAACACAAAGCACCCACATGAAGAAACTAGAGAATAGTCACATTGAAGAATAACAGCACAACCGAAAGCTCTAGAACAAAGATAAGTAGCCTCACCCAGGATGAGTAGATGCCAGGAAACAATCAAATTGAGGGCTGAAATCAATAAAGTAGAAACCAGGAAAACATTACAAAGAATCAATGAAACAAAGAGTTGGTTCTTTGAGAAATCAACAATATAGACAAACCTTTATCCAAACTAACCAAAAGACAGAGAGAGCATGCTAATTAACAAAATCAGAAATGAAAATGGGGTCACAACAATGGACACTGAGGAAATCCAGAGAATCATCAGGTCATAATTTGAAAACCTGTACTCCACAAAATTCTAAAATCTAAAGGAAATGGATTTCACCTACCAAAATAAAATCAAAAACAGAGAAGCAATTTAAACAGACCTATAACCCCTAATGAAATAGAAGCAGTGATCAAAAGTCTCCCAACCAAAAAAAGGCCAGGGCCACATAGCTTCAGTACAGATTTTTACCAGAAATTCAAAGAAGAGCTAATACCAATGCTACTCAAACTGTTCCACACACTAGAAGCAGAAGGGTCATTGCCAAACACTTTCTATGAGGCTACAATTACCTAGGTACCCAAGCCATACAAAGACACAACTAAGAAAGAACTACAAACAAATCTCCCTCATGAACACTGAGGCAAAAATACTCAAGAAAACACTGGCAAATGAATCCAAGAACACATCTGAAACATCAACCACCATGATTGAGCAGGCTTCATCCCAGGGATGCAGCGACGGTTCAACATTTGAAAATTCATCAATGTAATCCACCAAGCAAACAAACTAGAAAATATAAACCACATGATCATCTTACTAGATGCTGAAAAAGCCTTTGACAAAATCCAACACCCCTTCATGATAAAGGTCTTAGAGAGATCAGGGATAACATACCTAAACATAATAAAAGAAATATACAACCAACATCAAACTAAATGAAGAGAAACTCAATTTGATTTCTCTAAAATCAGGAACAAGACAAGGCTTTCCACTCTCTTTACATCTCTTCAATATTGTACTTGAGGTACAAGCTATTATAAAAATATAACAAAAGATCAAGGGGATACAAATTGGGAAGGAAAAACTCAAACTTTCTCTATTTGCAACTGATACAATAGTTTACATAAGTGATCTGAAAAACTCTACCAGGGAACTCCTTCAGCTGATAAACACCTTCAGCAAAGTGGCAGGATACAAGATTAATTCAAAAAAATTAGTAGCCCTACTAAATACAGATGATAAATGAGCTGAGAAAATCTGAGAAACATCATGCTTTACAATAGCCACAAACAACCTAAAATATCTTGAGCTAATGCTAACCAAACAAATGAAAGACCTGCATAACAAGAACTTTGAATCCTGAAATTAAAGAAGATACCAGAAAATGGAAAGAGCTCCCATGCTCTTGGATAGGTAGGATCAACATAGTAAAAATGGCAATCTTGCCAAAAGCAATCTACAGATTCAATGCAATGCCCATCAAAACCCAGCACAATTCTTCTCAGACCTTGAAAGAACAATACTCAACTTTATATGGAAAAACACAACCCAGGATAGCCAAAACAACCTGTGCAATAAATGAACTTCTGGAGGAATCACAATCTCTGACTTCAAGCTCTATTAAAGAGCCACAGTAATGAAAACAGCTTGGTATCGGCACCAAAATAGACAGGTAAACCAATGGGATCAAATTGAAAACCCTGGTATTAAACCACACACCTATGAACAACTGATTTTTTGACAAGGAAGCTAAAATTATACAATGGAAAAAAGAAAGCATCTTCAACAAATGATGCTGGCATAACTTGATGTGGTCATGTAGAAGATTGCAGATAGATCCATATCTATCACCATGCACAAAACGTAAGTCCAAATGGATCAAAGACCTCAACATAAATCCAGCCACACTGAACCTCCTAGAAGAGAAAGTGGAAGGTATCCTTAAACAAATTGATACAGGAGCCCACTTCCTGAACATAAAGCTAGTAGAACAGACACTGAGATCTACAATTAATAAATGGGACTTCCTGTAATTGAGAAGCTTCTGTAAGGCAAAGGGCACAGTCAACAAGACAAAACAGCAGCCCACAGAATGGGAAAAGATCTTCACCGACTCCACATCTGACAGAGGGCTGATTTCCAAAATATACAAAGAACTCAAAAAGCTAGTGACCAAAATACCAAATAACCCCATTAAAAAGTGGGGTACAGAACTAAATAGAGAATTCTCAATAGAGGAATCTAAAATGGCTGAAAGACATTCTTAGTCATAAGGGAAATACAAATCAAAACAACTCTGAGATATCATCTTGCTCTTGTCAGAATGGCTAAAATCAAAAATACCAACAACAGTTTATGCTGGAGAAGATGTAAAGAAAGGGGAACACTCCTCCACTGCTGGTGGAAGAGCAAACTTGTATAGTCACTTTGGAAATCAGTATGGTGGTTCCTCAGTAACACGGGAAGATCAAGCAATCCCACCTCAAGATCAAGCAATCCCACTGTTAGCCCCATAGGCAAAGGATGCACAGTCATACAACAAGGACACCTGTTCAACCATGTTTATATTTGTAATAGCCAGAATGTGGAAGTGACCCAAATGCCCCTTCACTGAAGAATGGATAAAGAAAATGTGGTATATTTACACAATGAATTTATTAGTATCTATGCCTTCAATCATAGATGGTTACCAAAGAAAAAATTATGGTGTGCCTCTGTGTTTTAGAAATCTAATTCTTAAATTTTCAGTAGCTTGTATTTGTTTTATTCTTAGTCATGTTTTTTAATGGCTAAGGAAGGTTCAGAAATAAAACCGGAATCTCAATTTTGGTCTATAAAATACAAATTAACATATTATATAATAAATCACTTATAACGTGATAGAATTATATACAATGAAGCAGGCATAATTCGTAACAAATACAATTTGTGCTCTTGCTCACATTTTACATATAAAATCTGTCAAAAGGACTGCCTTTGTTTTAGGTAAGTCTCAGAATTAAGAACTTTTTACTTCTTGGGCCGTGGTGGTGCATGCTTTTAGTCCCATCACTTGGTAGGCAGAGGCTGGTGGATCTCTGTGGTTGGGGCCAATCTGGTCTACTAAAGGAGTTCCAAGACAATTAGGGTTACACTAAGAAATCATGTCTTGAAAAAAGAAAACCAAACAAAAAAATCCAAGGCCTTCCTATTTCTTATTTAAACCACAAAGGATTAGTGGATACTTTTAACTATATAACCTTAAACCATTATATATCATCTTTTTAAGTGACACATTCTTGATATTAAAATTCTCCCAGGTGGAAAAACCAGGACTCACCTTTCTCATCACTAAGGGAATGAGATCCCTAGGGTTCTCTGATATCTAGCCACAAGGCTATGATTTTGGCAGAAGAACTGGTTAGGAATGAGTGACATTTCTGCCTTCATTCATATGGAGTTGAATCTGAGAATGATAATCACTTTGATTCATGAATCTCAACAGTGTTCTCTTTCAATCTCTATGATTACCTTCAACATAGTATGTTTCCACCTAAAAGAAGTTGTGCTTATGTTGATTAAATTGTGCCATGACTCATCCCTTATAAATCATCGCCAGTGACACATGACCAAACTATTAAAGCCATAGTTGACTGCAGAGAGAACAGGACCTAGTCTTCAGAGTATTACTTGGCCTCTCTCTCTCTCATACCATGTTTGCCTCTAGGAGAATTCCTGAAGGAGCAAAATCTTTCCCAGAGCATGGCATGATATAAATCTGATCTTCAGAAGAGATGTTGCATTCCAGGGCTGAAATGTTTGGAATAGTAAATGCTTTGATATAATTGTACATTTCAAAGACTTCAAACAGTGAAACCAAAAAAAAAAAAACAAAGAAAAAAGCTCCCCAAAACAACTTTATTTACTATCTTCTGAATTTTTCCATCCTGTTTATATCTTCAGGATGTAGGAAGAATTATTGAGATAATATTTATAATTTTTAAGCTCTCTGAAAAAATTTATTAATTATCTAGAGGTATTAATTTACCCAATGAAGTATCAGATAGTGGCCTGAAGATCTAAGACACCAATAGACTTTGTTCTTTGGGTACGATGTTTTGACAAAGCAAATAAATACCAGATTGTGCTGAGGTCATAAGTGGAGTTAAAATGTAAGAGAATGGGTTGGTGATGTAGCTTGGTGGTAGAGCATTTGTCTGACATGCATGCAACGATCTCAGTTTGATTCCTATCACTGAAACCAACACATCAGCTAAAAGCAATTAAGAAGAACAACATACTTCACAAAATATTTAATCTTAAAAATAAAAACACAAATATATACGGACTTTATAATACAAATGATTTAAATTAATAGTGTGTTGTTCACAAAACACCCACAAATAACAATGAAGACCAGTCCCAGAATTGCATAGTTAGCAAATTGTTAGCCTCTCATGCCTGTGATACGATTAACCCAAGTTTTGTTTGTTTGAATATTTGGAGGGTTGTCGCTTTTTCAGCAATGCCAAAATATCCTGTTTAAGTTTGCGTTGAAGCAGATGCCTATTATACATCTGCCTCCAGAGGGAAGAAACAGCTCTGTAGTTTACCTTGACTAATGAACTGCTCCATGATTTCCTTGAAGGGCTGCATGTGCTCTTCGGAGGAGACCTGGTACACTTTACCCGCTTCCACCTCACAAGCTGAAAGGAAGAGAGCAAGACCATATTTAGAGCATCATGTTGTCATGGGAACATTATACTATTGTTTAGAAAGTACAAAATCCAGTGTTGGAAAACCCTTCCACCACTTTTACTGACATGTGTTGCTGGCCCACAGTGGAACTATCTTCATAGATGCCTATGTTAAATAACCCTTCAGTCAACCACAAAAAGACATTCCTAAGAACTACCACTCCTAAACTGATCTGCTGGACAAGTGACTTAGACCTTAAGACCTTAGTTCTTTCATGTGAAAAATGGGAAGGATACCAGAACCTATATCATGGTGCAGTTCTGGGGCCAAAACCTGCTAAGAGCTGTGAGCTGTTACAGTAGTGCCCAGTAGACAGGACAGTAAGAGCTAAGCATTTCTTCTCTCATAGCTGTCAACTGACTTCTAATGCAAGTTTATCCCTAATTACAGTCCAATTTTCTGAAAAATAATGCAAAGAGGCATCAACCTCGCAGAGCAGCCAGTATTTACAGAGCACTTACACACCAGCACCAGGTACCTATTACCCATAATTTAATCAAATCTTTAACATAAGGCAAGAGAGGGGATACTCTTGGACAACCAAGGAGGTTAAGGTTTAACTATGGCCACAAGACAAAAGAACAGATTCATATGTGAAGTTCTGAGGTGACACACTAATGTTTGTCCTTCCTTTCCATTCGACGACATCATAAGTACCTCAGGACAGACGCGGCTAGAGTTGAAAATCATTTCTAAGCAAGTCTCTGAAGACATGCCTGTCACTGTGGAAAGGAGTCCTCTAACTCAGTAAGGGATCTGAAGCTGAAAACAATACTCTCAAATATTAACAGCAGCAGATCCATGCTGGCCTCTGGAAAACGGGCCACTACTCTCTTAAACTTAGGCTGTTCCTAGAAAATCATGTTTCCTGGCAGTGAAGTCACTCACCTCTGTGTGTGTGTGTGTGTGTGTTTAACTGCCAGGACTACTTAGAACCTACATGGGGAAGGGAATAGGTCAGATAGGGAGAGAGACTGCAGTTATCTGCCTTTGGATTGTATCATTGGTAACAGTCCCATGAAGACAGAAACATTTTATTTGTTTATTTGTTCTATTGTACTGAAGACTGAACCCAGGGGCTTGTACAAGGTAAGCTAGCCATGTACTTTGCTATACCCCAAGCCTTCTTTTGATTATTTTGAGAGGAGGTCTCTCTAAGTTGCTCATATCTGCCTGGAACTCACTCTGCAGCCCATGCCACTCTTAAACTTATGATCCTTTAGTCTCTACAGTAGCTGAGATAATGGGTATACGCCAGCCAGCTTCATATCTTCTTTGAAATGTCTGCAGATGATGCTAAGTATATAATCATACTTTGAGAATTTTCTAATATAAAGTATATCCTGAATAGGAAGGCAACTTGCCAATGCTTATAGGAAATGAGGCCCAACTTATTAGTGTCCCCCTTAATCTTCCAGTCAGTTATTCCTAGCAGGGTCAAAGGAAGAGATTCTAAAAAGCCTCCGAGCAGCTTTGAACTGTTAAGCAATCCTCTCTGAAGTCTCAAAACTTGTTAGTCTGCCATCCTGTACCAGGTTTCGGCTCTACACATTCTATCAGTCAAGGACAAGATGAGAATGCCTATGTTCACAGGGAGCTGTTTATTCTAAACCATTAGTCTTTAAATTTTCTTCCATCTCAATGAGAAGAGTGAAAACTTGTCACATTAGTGTATAGTGGTTTAGGGCAGCATGGGAGGGAAAACAAAACAAACAAACAAAAACACCCCTTCCCTGTCTGAGAGGTAGAGGTAGGATGATCAGGAGCTCAAAGCCATCCTCAGCTATTAACAACCTTAAGACCAGCCTGAGCTAGAATACCTAATTAACTGTCTAAAAAACAAAGCAAAATACCATTAGAAAATAGGAGAACCATAGTTTCCTTCATGGAGTTCTATCATGTCTGGAGATGTACAAGGTCCTAATAGTGCTCCGACAGTCCGAAGTGATGGAAATTAATTTCACAGGGCTGTTGTCTCCAGGGAAGGAGAGGAGCTCATTGTCAGCAAAGCATAACAAGATCAAGGGCTGACTGTGGCACAGTCTTCCAGTGATTTCACTCAGCAAGTCTGACAGAATAGAGCATTTAACAAATAGGAAAATGAAAACTGTGGGCTAGGGAGATGGCTCAGTGTATAAAGACCTCGCCATGCAAGTATGATGACCGGAGTCAAAACCTACATAAAGCATAGTACAACAGCAATTACCTGTGAACCTGGCATTCCCATGGCAAGGTGCAAAACAGACCACTGCATCCACAAAGTTCATGTGCCAGCCGCCCTGGCTTAGACAGCAGCTTACAACAGTGTGGATCTGCTTCCAGCAAGGTAGGGAGCCAAAACCCAGGATACTCTCTGATCTCCACAAGTATGCCGGGACATGTGTATACAAGCATTCACATATGCAAATGTGTAACATGCACAACATATAACAACACACACATATAGTACACATACACACACGATAATAAATATTGCAATATTTCAATTTTTTCATTTAATTTTATAAAAAAAATCTCAGCATACTCTTATGAACTATATTCTTAGTATAAGGCAAACAAAATTATATTTTTCCTCTGTTTAATCTATCTTTCACCTTAAGTCATAGTAGAATTCCCTGTGCACAATGAAAATGAAGCACAATTTGAGATCTAGAAAACACATGAAAAATGTTTGGCCAGGTCTTGGAGTTTCTGATGGAGTTCACTCCCACCTCTGCCAGGGGCTCTTTTCTCATCAAGCTGCCCCAGCCATCAGAATTTACATCCAGATATTAAGCAGATCTCTCTCTCTATAGTCAAACCTTGATGGAAAATGCCTGGGGGTTGCTTTTAAATATTGCAAGTGTTCAGAAAACACTTGTGCAATTAAAATAAGAAAGAAGTACAATGTTTCAGCTCAAGTCGTTAATAGGTAATGGAATTCTAGTCTCCAATGATAGGTTTATTTTCTACCACTATCCACCATCCTCCATTTATTTACTGTGCTATATCCCTAGTATGTACATGTGTGGAATATTAATTATAATTAATCTACATGTGTGGATGTTTAATATCTACCCTCTGGTCATGGTGAACTACTAGTTAATCTAAAAATGCCATAGTTATTCAATTTCTTCATATTACATATTCACCTGACATACTCTTGGCCCTTAGGATCAGTTGTTGGTACCTCTTACCTAAACATATCCAGTTTGGGGGTCAATTGTCACTGTAAAGCAAGAGGGCCAATTTTCCCCCCAACTTCACATGACCCTTCTCTATAGAAAATATTAATGACACAGGATAAAAGTAAGAATTTAGAGGAAACAAATGAATATTCAGGTATAGTTTAACTATCAGATAAGGAAATCATTCCCTTAAGGCTGTGGTTCTCAACCCTCCTAAAAGGTGTGACCCTTGAATACAGACTCCCAACCATAACATTATTTTGTTGCTACTTCGTAACTATGATTTTGCTACTGTTATGAATTGTGATGCAAGTAACTGATATGCAGGATATCTAATATGTGACCCCCAAAGGGGTCACAGGTTGAGAACCACTGCCTTAAGATATATGATTCCTAATGAAGACTTGAACTGCAAGAGCTAAGTTTTGAAATGTCTGTCAGGCAGCATGAAAAATGGTGGCAGATAGCAATAATAGTGCCTTACATTTCTTTAGTGGTGTACCTATGTCTCTGATTGTAATTCCTGTTCACTAAGGCCGAGAGTGTCCTATTCACTTAGGTATTCAGTGTTTCAGGTATAGAGGAACCAGAACTTTACACAAAAGAAAGTGTTACTAGCTGCAGCCATGATTATGAATTTTTTAACTGTCATACTCCAGTGGTAGATGACACAATACTACAAAGGACTCCAAAGCCCAAATTATAGATCTCAAAGCCCTTCCTTGTGAGATAAAATATATTCTCCTATTTGTGGATAGTTTATCAAGAAAGAAGGAATTGCTGGTACAACATACCATGGTATGGCTTAGAGCTTAAAAAATTATTTGTATGTACTGTTCTCATACATAGACTAACATTCAACACACATAAGAATAATTTTCAGGCAGTTAATATATAAGGCACTGGGATATTTCTCTAAAACATTGACTACCATTCTATTCTTAGCTGTAGTATACCATTTTTCACAATATATCACTCTAGCTAGTACTTATCATTTTAAAAATTGGTATGTGACTGCAATTTTTTAAAAAACACAAAACCCTGAAATATAAACGTAAAGGGTCATTTAGAAACATTATTAAAATCAGAATGCAGATAGAGTTCTTGGAAAACTTAATTACAGTCAAATCCAAATATTAAAAAAACATTAGTCGGGAGACAGTTGGCATAACTGAGTCATTCCAGTTGTGTTAACTTTTGTTTAATTTAAAGCCTTTGTGGAGCCAAAGAGATTTGTGTGATGCTAAAAGGTTGATATTGGGAAGTATGCATTAGGCTTCCCAACAAAGAAAAACACAGCCAGTGGGAAGGAGAAACAAAACCCTCAGATACTCCAGGGTAAAACAGACTCAACACAACGACTTCATGTATAGAGCAGCATGCTGTGAGGCCAGGGAAACACCACCGTATCACTGTCACACTAACCGTCAACATCACTCAGCTCTCTCTGAAGCAGACCTACATCACGAAAGTTTGGCTACTATTTTAAGGAGTTGGAATACTCCAGTCATAATTTACTGAAGTCTCGAAATTCAATCAATGTTAATTATAGCCTAAAACTACTGTTTGTCTGTGAGCTTCAAGAAAGTCATATTAATATCTTCAACATACACAAAAAAGAACAAACATTTTGATTAGAAGGAAAACCCTAGAAACTTCCAAAACTAAATTGTCTCCCTTTCCCACAGAAGAGCCTCATCTATAGCATCATTATGGGTTCAGAAGACAGAGAGGGAGGGCGGAGAGAGAAGACACACAAATTCTACTTCCAGAGACCTACA